ATTTTCATTTTTCTAGTATTCGCATAGACCATAGTACCCACTACCCAAAAACCTCAAATGCACATGGCTTCTCTAACATCTCTTTTTCATTCTCCAACCTTAATTTCCTACTCATCATCTTCTTCTTCTCCTTCCTCCACCAAATGTATTATGCCCAAATCATCTTCTTCATCTCCTTCCTTCACCAAATGTATTCTGCCCACATCTTCTTCTTCTTCTCTTTCCTCCATCAAACCCATTAAAATTTCCAATCTCTACTGATATTATTCAACTGAAATTCATATACAGATTTTTTTAAGGAACCCAAACAACACAACATAACATCCAACAAACCCATTGAAGTTTTTTTATCTCTACTGAAATTTAACAATTAAAATTCATATACAAACTCTTTTCACAAACCCACACAACACAAAATTCAACATCTAACAAACGCAAAGCACCCGTTTGAAGAAAAAATCTTCAAATTCTCCAACCACTAAAAATAAACCCCAAAATCACTAACCCATAGACCATAAGATCCAAAAGAAAAATTGTGAGCAAGAAAAGAAAGAGGGTTGACGTGTCGGCATCAGTGTCACGGTCGAGTTGGGTGTCTATGACGCTGCCTTCGGCCGCAATTTGGTTGGCTACGAGCTGAGTTGGTAGCATCGCAGCCAGCCCAGCTTTTGGCTAAAGGTTGCGACGCTGCCGATCCAGCTAGCAGTTGCAGGTTATGCTGGCGTCGTAGCCTCCAACGTAGAAGGAAGAGATGATGGCGAAGAAAAGATTGGGAAAAAAAGAAATAGAAGGAAAAAAACATATTTCAATTTTAAATTTTGATTTCCTCTCCAAGAATTAGAAAGGACCTATGGGCTCCTGGTACTTGTGCTTTCCAGTATTCCTAGCTTTATATGTAATCACGAAGCACTTCCTGAACAAATTCCAAAACCTCCCACCAAGTCCCTTTCTTTCCTCCCCATTATAGGTCATCTCTACCTCTTGAAGAAACCTATCCACCAGACTTTATACAGAATCTCCAAACAGCACGGTCCCATAGCCTTCCTCCAATTCGGTCTCGCAAAGTTGTCGTAGTCTCATCACCTTCTGCAGCAGAAGAATGTTTGACCAGAACGACATCATCTTTGCACACCGCCCTCGCCTGACCATTGGAAAGATTCTAGGCTATAATTACACCATCTATCTTGGGCTCCTTATGGTGATCACTGGCGAAATCTCAGAAAAATCGCGCCCTTCAAATATGTCAATTCTCGTCTCCAAATGTTCTCTGGTATACGAGTTGATGAGGCCAAGATACTGATTCGCAAGCTATTACTAATCAAGACCAGTCTGTTGAACTGCGGACGATGTTTTTTGAGTTAACACTAAACGTCATGATGAGAATGATTGCTGGAAAGCGATATTACGGTGATAACATGCAGATCTTGAGGAGTCAAAGAGGTTTAAGGAGATTCATGAGAGGATTTAAATTAGCTGGAACGCCATGTATAGGAGATTACTTACCGTGTTCAAGTCTAAGAAACTGGAGAACATGTTGATCAAGTTTCAGAGAAAGAGAGACGAGTTCATGCAGGGTTTGATTGAAGAGCATAGAAGAAGAAGAAGAGGAAGTGGTCATGATTCCGAGACTGATAGAAAGAATCGTTGATTGAAGTTTTGTGGGGCTACAAGAATCAGAACTGAGTACTACAACGACGAGATCATCAAGGCCTAATGCTTGAAGATTTATGTCTTTTTCCCCTTGTTATGGAATAATTTTTACCTCTGAATTAAGCATCATCTATTAATATAAAATTCACTTCAGATACTCAAACTATCTTTATTACTCAACAATCTTTGTGAAATTTCATGTATTTTGCATCTCTTAAACATACGATTCCATTTCCTGGTGTAGATAATGTTATTGGCTGGCACAGACACCACAGTAAATGCTATAGAATGGGCACTTACACTTTTGCTAAACCATCAAGAAGTCCTTGAGAAAGTCCAAAGAAATTGACAACATGTAGGTCATGAACGTCTGATAGAGAATCAGATCTGCTCAGCTCCTGTCTCAGTAACATCATCAACGAGACAATGCGTATGTACCCGCCATCCCCCACTTTTATTACCTCATGAATCGTCTGAGAAGTGCGTAGTTGGAGGATTTCACATTCCACAAGGGACAATCTTGTTTGTAAATTTGTGGGCTATACAAAATGATCCAAGCTTTGGGCCGATCCAACAAAGTTTAAGCCAGAGAGGTTGAGGGAGTAGAGAGGGGTAGAGATGGGTTCAGATTGATGCCATTTGGGTCAGGGAGAAGGGGTGTCCGGAGAAGGTTTAGGGTTGACAATGGTTGGGTTGGTTTTGGGGTCAATGATTCAATGCTTTCAGTGGATGAGGACTGGGGAGGAGATGGTGGACATGACGGAAGGGTCTGGATAACATTGTCAAAGGCTCCACCCTTGCATGCTAAGTGCCGCCCACGTCCAATCATGTTCAACTTGCTATCTAAATTTGAATGGTATGATCACAAATTTTTCTGTAAAAATATTGTGACCCAAAAACTCTTGGCAAATTTTAAATTGTGAACTTGGTGTAATTTTTTCAAGGAAAACTAATTTTATAAATGGCTATTCTAGTATATAAAATTTATTAATAATTATTAGTGTATGCCTTAGGAACCAATCGTGTTATTGGTTTCATGGGACATTGTCTTGTATATTTAAAATGATGCATTATTTACATTGTTAATATTATAAGAATTGTTCTTCGTTTTATATGTTTTTCTTACTACTTCAATTTATACTTTGTTCACATTACATATGGAATGTCCGGATGATCTGAACCTTTAGAAGATCGAATCAACCAAGAGTTCCCTATGTACATAATGTTAATTGGGCAATAACATTGTATAGTAGACATGCTGAATGTCTTTATTAAATGTCATGTGATGACAATAGTGTCAATGATTACAAAAGTCATATCACTTGAGCATTAGCGTGGATAAGCGGTTAGTGAACTGTTTATCGAACATGACTGATTATGATGAATCACATGGACATCTAAAATATAGTCAATGATACATCGTAAGATCGTACTAGTGTACCACTGATCCTTAGACTTGAGATATCACAGTTGAATTCGTAGGAGATGCATATGGTTCATATGGTGTATAATTACGAGGCCAATCATGTCATGTGCAAGAAGCCGGTTTGGTCATGTATAGTTTATGTGCGAAGACAAGTGATAATAAATAAGAGATCTGTTGACTTGAAATAATTATGAGTTTTCAAACGAATGTCAATAAACATTGGAAAAGGAAAATCTTTGGCCGAAGTGTATAATAAAGTCACATGAAAGGTGTTTCATGGCGACGTGTTCCAATGTATTGATTAACAATTCGGATAAAAATTAAATAAATGATTTTGACATACCATGAACCTATTCTTGATCGAGATTGGATGACGGAGAGATTTTACTACATAGTATATATGACGATTAAAAGGTTCATTAATGAAGTTTATTCTTCATTATGGTTTATGGGTTATAGAACATTGCTAGACATCTACCATAAATAGTGGGAGTTTTGATCTTAAAGAGTTATAATGAAACATATCATAATCCAATATTTGGCCCACGACTAGATTACAATGAACAAAAATAATTACACATAAAACAAAGCTTAAAGAGAGAGAGAATGATACATATTATTAATCAGATTAACGATATTCGTTTGTAAATTATTACATCTGAATTAATATATTGGTGAGAAATGATTATTTGTGGATAACTAGTACCAACCAAGGGTAATAAAGGCTGTGTTTGGCTTAATATTTTTATCCATATTCTGGATCCTATTCTCCAAATAATGTTTGGCACATTATTTCAGAAATATTACCCTATTTTTTTTAATTACTTTTAAACCCCATAAGGTTATTAATTTCACTAAATACCCCCTGAAAAAAAGTTTAAAAATTAACAAAAACACCCCCATCAACCCAACTTGTCAGATTCCGGCAACCACCGTCGGTGATAGCTGGAATCTGTACAACGGCCTAACTTCCGACCATAAATGGCCGGAATTCACCGATGTGGCCTTTTCCGGCCAGATTCACCACGGATCTGGTCGGAAAAGGCCAGATCTGGCCGTCGTTGACCGAAAACGACGGCCAAAGATGGTCGTCGTTTGGCCTTTTTCGGCCGTCGACTGCCATAACAGACCGTAGATCTGGCCTTTTCCGGCCAGATCCACCATGGATCTGGCCGGAAAAGGCCATAACGACGTGTTACGGCACAGATCCGACCGGTCTGTGCCGTAATGAAATTTTCCGGCCAGATTCCGGCGGTGGTGGCCGGAATCTGGCACTGCAGGTGGTGGGGGTGTTTTTGTCATTTTATATGTTAGGGTCTTTAATTAAATTAGTAAACCTAAGGGCTTTTTCACAAATTTTTAAAATTTACCTCGTAATACTCCCCTATCCAATAACCCAATACTATCCCCAAAATCTTATCCAAAATACTAAACTAAACGCACCCAAAGATATTTAAATATTATTATTGAATTATATTCAATAATGAAGGCAAAAGTGCATTAATTTTATTCTAATGGTTAGAATATTTAATTGAATTAAAATTTGTGGCATGATTATGAGTTAACCATAAAACAAAAGACCTAACATAAATGCTTATCAAGTTATTTTAAAATTGTTTGAGGATTTTCAAAATCAATTTTAAAATTNTAAAAAAAAAATCCTATCTACCCATTATATTTAGCGTATTTTAAATTTTCAACTCTAGTTACTTCATTGGATGGTCAGTATCATATAGGAAGCTGATGTGCTAGTGCTAATCTCATTCGTCTTTTTAAATATTAAAAGATTCGATGGTAATCCAATAATTCACCCTCTGAAATCTTTTGATTTATTCATTAAAGTATTCTTATAATTTAATCAACTTTAATTATTCAGAATGTTTGTTTGGTTGTTTGGTTTGATCTAATAGTCAGCAGTAAAAAAAACTGCTCTTGCATCGAGAAGCAGAGCACAGCCAGGGTCTCCTCTCCAAGAATTAGAAAGGACCTATGGGCTCCTGGTACTTGTGCTTTCCAGTATTCCTAGCTTTATATGTAATCACGAAGCACTTCCTGAACAAATTCCAAAACCTCCCACCAAGTCCCTTTCTTTCCCTCCCCATTATAGGTCATCTCTACCTCTTGAAGAAACCTATCCACCAGACTCTCTACAGAATCTCCAAACAGCACGGTCCCATAGCCTTCCTCCAATTCGGGTGTCGCAAAGTTGTCGTAGTCTCATCACCTTCTGCAGCAGAAGAATGTTTGACCAAGAACGACATCATCTTTGCCAAACGCCCTCGCATGACCATTGGAAAGATTCTAGGCTATAATTACACCATCTTATCTTGGGCTCCTTATGGTGATCACTGGCGAAATCTCAGAAAAATCGCTGCCCTTCAAATATTGTCAATTTCTCGTCTCCAAATGTTCTCTGGTATACCAGTTGATGAGGCCAAGATACTGATTCGCAAGCTATTACATAATCAAGACCAGTCTGTTGAACTGCGGACGATGTTTTTTGAGTTAACACTAAACGTCATGATGAGAATGATTGCTGGAAAGCGATATTACGGTGATAACATTGCAGATCTTGAGGAGTCAAAGAGGTTTAAGGAGATTCATAGAGAGACATTTAAATTAGCTGGAACGCCATGTATAGGAGATTACTTACCGTTGTTCAAGTCTAAGAAACTGGAGAACATGTTGATCAAGTTTCAGAGAAAGAGAGACGAGTTCATGCAGGGTTTGATTGAAGAGCATAGAAGAAGAAGAAGAGGAAGTGGTCATGATTCCGAGACTGATAGAAAGAATACGTTGATTGAAGTTTTGTTGGGGCTACAAGAATCAGAACCTGTATACTACAACGACGAGATCATCAAAGGCCTAATGCTTGTAAGATTTTTGTCTCTCTCTCCCTTGTTATGGAATAATTTTTACCTCTGAATTAAGCATTATCTATTATATATAATTCACTTCAGATACTACAAACTATCTTTATTACTGCACATATCTTTGTGAAATTTCATGTATTTTTGCATCTCTTGAACATAACGATTCCATTTCCTGGTGTAGATAATGTTATTGGCTGGCACAGACACCACAGTAAATGCTATAGAATGGGCACTTACACTTTTGCTAAACCATCAAGAAGTCCTTGAGAAAGTCCAAAAAGAAATTGACAAACATGTAGGTCAGGAACGTCTGATAGAGGAATCAGATCTGGCTCAGCTTCCTTGTCTCAGTAACATCATCAACGAGACAATGCGTATGTACCCGCCATCCCCACTTTTATTACCTCATGAATCGTCTGAGAAGTGCGTAGTTGGAGGATTTCACATTCCACAAGGGACAATCTTGTTTGCAAATTTGTGGGCTATACAAAATGATCCAAAGCTTTGGGCCGATCCAACAAAGTTTAAGCCAGAGAGGTTTGAGGGAGTAGAGAGGGGTAGAGATGGGTTCAGATTGATGCCATTTGGGTCAGGGAGAAGAGGGTGTCCTGGAGAAGGTTTAGGGTTGACAATGTTTGGGTTGGTTTTGGGGTCAATGATTCAATGCTTTCAGTGGATGAGGACTGGGGAGGAGATGGTGGACATGACGGAAGGGGCTGGATTAACATTGTCAAAGGCTCAACCCTTGCATGCTAAGTGCCGCCCACGTCCAATCATGTTCAACTTGCTATCTCAAATTTGAATGGTATGGTTATAAATTTGTCTGAAAAGCTATTGTGATGTGCAAATACAATGAGTGAAGATGTGAAAATAAAAAGGTTTGACGAATTCTGACACTCATAAGTTGTTCATAACCATTTAATATATCTATGTTTTTGTGTTCTACTTCACAAATTCACACATGTTACTTGTATCTATTTGTGAAATTTGATTGGTACGAAAAAACTTCAATTATAAATTTAATTATCATATGAAAATCAAAGTTATAAAAAAAAGAACAAAAATATTTCAATCATCTGCACATTTCTGCAAGATTTGAGTATGATACCACTATATATATGTTGGTTGGTTCTGTTCATATTATTGTTACTGTTAAAAAGGCTAGCTCATCAATCTTTAAATTCAATGAACAATCTACTCTCTGTTTGGGGAACCAGATAGCAAGAGGAGATCAAGCAAAGTGTCCCATCCATGAGTAAGTTTGCCAATGCAAGATGCCAGAGTTTAGCAAGGACGGCGAAACCAATAAACCTAGTTGCGACGAGGAGAAACAATAATTTAACGACACGATTCTTGGCCATCATTTTATAACTTATAAATCTTTGGCATGAACGCTGGTAAGCTTATTTTCACACCCAAAATGATATAAAAGAAGAAAACTTGTCAATATTATTTCATAATCTAAGGAGCAGGGGCTCTGTTTTGGAATTTTGTGCCTTTTTGAGTGAGTGTGGAAGTGCATCTGTTGCTTGTAGTGACATATGGCATGCCTGATAGCCCGTAAGTAAAAGAATGGTTCTCACTCTAGTTGTGGTCAACGTAAGCATCCCATCCCATCCCATCTGTTTCCTATATCCTTAGAAATAGTAGTTGTAATTGGAAAATAAGCATTTAAATGTAAAGTTTGTTTGATTGATTGGAGATGAGATAAGAATGGTACCAAATTAAACATAGATAATGATACCATTCCATTGATTGAATTTTGTTTGCTTTTATCTCAAAAGATGTTCCATTCTTTTATTTATGCTTCTTGATTTTGTTTGCTCACATCCGTAATGAAAGGAATGGTGTATTTCTTTCATATACGAACTTCCTATTGAATGGTGTACCCAGTCCCACCATTCTTTTTTTATTATTTCCCATCCAGGTTTGGTAAAATGACACTTTTCCATCCACTGTTATATTCCGTTAGTAAAATCCGTTATTATTTGATTATAAAGACAAAAATACCTTTTATTTTTTAATTATTTTATGTCATGCAACAGAGTCAATTACCAATATACTCTCTCTTTAAGTTTGAAAATTGTATATAAATTTTACTTAAATTCCAGTAAAATATTATTTTTAATAAAAAGTTAGAGAGATAAATTGTAAATTTGCATTCTCATAAACAATGACAATACCCTGTAATTGAGCAGTAATAAAAGTTTGCTGGTGGATATCAAATAAGAGTAATGCTATAGCCACCGAAGGTTGTGCACCGAATGACGTGACAAAATCCTGACCGTTAATTCTTTATCAGTTAATATTAATCAACGGTCATGATTTTTTCACGTCATTCGATGCACAGATTTAGTGCGCAACCTTCGGTAACTCTATCATTTTCGATCAAAATAAACATTGAGAAAATTCTACAGAAAGAGAAGAAGCAAAAACATGACAAAACTAGATCAATTTTTTTTTTTTTTCTTTTGATTGGTTCCTGTCTCTCCTTTCACTTCTTTACTACCCACACCATGCACACTCTCTGGACCAACAACAACATTTTGCAAGATCAAATTTTTATTTTTCTAGTATTCGCATAGACCATAGTACCCACTACCCAAAAACCTCACATGGCTTCTCTAACATCTCTCTTTCATTCTCCAACCTTAATTTCCTACTCATCATCTTCTTCTTCTCCTTCCTCCACCAAATGTATTATGTCCAAATCATCTTCTTCTTCTCCTTCCTTCACCAAATGTATTCTGCCCACATCTTCTTCTTCTTCTGTTTCCTCCATCAAACCCATTAAAATTTCCAATCTCTATTGATATTATTCAACTGAAATTCATATACAAATTTTTTTAAGGAACCCAAACAACACAACATAACATCCAACAAACCCATTGAAGTTTTTTTTATCTCTACTGAAATTTAACAATTAAAATTCATATATAAACTCTTTTCACAAACCCACACAAGACAAAATTCAACATCTAACAAACGCAAAACACCCGTTTCAAGAAAAGAATCTTCAAATTCTCCAACCACTAAAAATCCACAAAAAATAAACCCCAAAATCACAAACCCATAGATCATAAGATCCAAAAGAATAATTGTGAGCAGGAAAAGAAAGAGGGTTGAGGTGTCGAGGTGTCACGTCGAGTTGGGTGTTTATGATGCTACCTTCGGCCGCAATTTGGTTGGCTGCGAGCTGAGTTGGTAGCATCGTAGCCAACCCAACTTATGGCTAAAGGTTGCGACGCTGCCAACCCTACTAGCAATTGCAGGTTATGCTGGCGTTGTAGCCTCCAACGTAGAAGAAAGAGATATTTCAATTTTTAAATTTTGATTTATGAGGTTTCACATAAATTGATTATTCTACCCTTCTTCATAACGGATTCTTTTAACATAACATAATGGAAGGTGGGAAAGTGTCGTTTCACCAAACCTTGGGTGAAAAACTGTCGTTCTCCCTTCTTTCAAAGAAAACCCATCTTTTTATTATTTTAAAGTAATGGAGTGGACGAAAAGGTTTGCATATATGTATTAGAATTTTGTGGGATTGACGTGATTCTTTGAGACTTGGGAAATCGAAACGAGGGAGTTCAAATGTTAAATATTGAATTTTTAGGTAAATCACGTTTTAGATTCTGATTATTGATTTGATGTTTACTAAACTAAGGACGGGATTGATGATTAATAGAAGAAACAAAATCTCAGCGTATTATAGTGATAGTGTGGGTCAGGTCGCAACAGCGGGACTTACACAAGATTTAGAAAAAAGTAAATGTGTTGTTTACAAGAAAGAGAGAGTTTTTATGTAAAATGTCGATCCCTTTAATGAAGGGGTCTTCCTCTTCTATACCCAGGTGAATGTGCGTAATCATCACTAAACCCTTGGGTTGGTGTGATTGTCAGGACCTAATCTGATTACGTCCCATTACCCATTTTTCAAGCCGATTTCACGCGATTTGGAGCAGATTAGCGGACACATGGGAACACCAGGGCGTTTGGCAGGCCGACGTGTGCTTACCGTTCTGACGGAGCAAACCACGTTTCGTCCAGCACTCCACGTCAGCCTTTGATTTCTTAGTCATAACATTATTTTACGTCATTTCCAGGTCCAATGTCCATGAATGTAACAATCACATGATTATAATGAGTATCACTTCATTGAAAAATCGTAGAATAGGACCCACAAGGACATGCTCTTGTAATTAAAAAAAAAAAAATCCTATCTACCATTATATTTAGCGTATTTTAAATTTTCAACTCTAGTTACTTCATTGGATGGTCAGTATCATATAGGAAGCTGATGTGCTAGTGCTAATCTCTTCTTCTTTTAAAATTTAAAGATTCGATGGTAATCCAATAATTCACCCTCTGAAATCTTTTGATTACATTAAAGTATTCTTATATTAATCAACTTAATTATTCAGAAGTTTGTTTGGTTGTTTGGTTTGATCTAATAGTCAGCAGTAAAAAAACTGCTCTTGCATCGAGAAGCAGAGCACAGCCAGGGTCTCCTCTCCAAGAATTAGAAAGGACCTATGGGCTCCTGGTACTTGTGCTTTCCAGTATTCCTAGCTTTATATGTAATCACGAAGCACTTCCTGAACAAATTCCAAAACCTCCCACCAAGTCCCTTTCTTTCCCTCCCCATTATAGGTCCACTCTACCTCTTGAAGAAACCTATCCACCACTCTCTACAGAATCTCCAAACAGCACGTCCCATAGCCTTCCTCAATTCGGGTGTCGCAAAGTGTCGTAGTCTCATCACCTTCTGCAGCAGAAGAATGTTTGACCAGAACGACATCATCTTTGCCAAACGCCCCGCATGACCATTGGAAAGATTCTAGGCTATAATTACACCATCTTATCTTGGGCTCCTTATGGTGATCACTGGCGAAATCTCCGAAATCGCAGCCCTTCAAATATTGTCAATTTCTCGTCTCCAAATTGTTCTCTGGTATACCAGTTGATGAGGCCAAGATACTGATTCGCAAGCATTAGAGAATCAAGACAGTCTGTCGAACTGCGGACGATGTTTTTGAGTTAACCTAACGTCATGATGAGAATGATTGCTGGAAAGCGATATTACGGTGATAACATGCGACTTGAGGAGTCAAAGAGGTTTAAGGAGATTCATAAAGAGACATTTAAATTAGCGGGAACGCCAGTGTAGGAGATTACTTACCGTTGTTCAAGTCCAAGAAACTGGGAGACATGTTGATCAAGGTCAGAGAAAGAGACGAGTTCATGCAGGGTTTGATTGAAGATAGAAGAAGAAGAAGAGAAGTGGTCATGATTCCGAGACTGATAGAAAGAATACGTTGATTGAAGTTTTGTTGGGCTCCAAAATCAGAACCTGTATACTACAACGACGAGATCCAAAGGCCTAATGCTTGTAAGATTTTTGTCTCTCTCTCCCTTGTTATGGAATAATTTTTACCTCTGAATTAAGCATTATCTATTATATAATTCACTTCGATACTACAAACTATCTTATTACTGCACATCTCTTGTGAAATTTCATGTATTTTTGCATCTCTTGAACATAACGATTCCATTTCCTGTGTAGAAATGTTATTGGCTGGCACAGACACCACGTAAATGCTATAGAATGCACTCTCACTTTTGCTAAACCATCAAGAAGTCCTTGAGAAAGTCCAAAAGAAATTGACAACATGTAGGTCAGGAACGTCTGATAGAGGAATCAGTCTGGCTCAGCTTCCTTGTCTCAGTAACATCATCAACGAGACATGCGTATGTACCCGCCATCCCCACTTTTATTACCTCATGAATCGTCTGAGAAGTGCGTAGTTGGGATTTCACATTCCACAGGGACAATCTTTTGCAAATTTGTGGGCTATAAAAAATGATCCAAGCTTTGGGCCGATCCACAATGTTTAAGCCAGAGAGGTTTGAGGGAGTAGAG